CCCAGGAATTGTTCGTCATATCATGGTTACAAGTCATACCCGATCGTCGGAAGTCTACCTGGATTGGTAAAAAACCGTCACCGTGTACTTGAGTGGACGTTAGAGAATCTGTCCCGATGCCCCACCCATACGTCTATTTTTCGGCGACCATGGAAGCAACAAATCGTCGTTACGGCGAATCCAGCGAACGTCGAGTACATGCTCAAGACCAAATTCGAGTATTTCCCTAAAGACGACCAAATGATCTCGCTTCTTGACGATATTCTTGGCCGTGGGATGATATTCTCGGTTTATCGGCAACGAGGAGATGATTCGCCAGAGTTGCTCCGTTATATTATCATGAGTTTCATCCTCGCGGGACGAGACACAACTTCCTCTGCTCTGAGCTGGTTCTTTTGGTTACTGTCTCTACATCCTGAGGTGGAACATAAGATTCTCCAAGAGATGAAATCGATCCGAGAGCGAACGAGGAAGCGAATCGGGGAAAGTCTCTAAGGCTATATCCTCCATTGCCTTTTGACCAAATGATCTGTGTTGAGGACAATGTATTGCCTGATGGGACTTTTGTAGGGAAATAACCTATAGCGCGTACGTACGCGATGGGGAGGATGGAGAGTATTAGGGGGAAAGATTGTGATCGGTTTGATCCGGAGAGGTGGATTGATGAAACGAATGGTGGTTTTAGAGGTGAGAATCCTTATAAGTTTCCGGTGTTTCATGCTGGACCAAGGATGTGTTTAGGGAAAGAGATGGCTTATATTCAGATAGTTGCTGCAGTGCTCGAGAGGTTTGTGGTTGAGGTTCCGGGGAAGAAGGACCGTCCTGAGTATTTGTTGTCTATGACACTTAGAATCAAAGGAGGTTTGTTTGTCAAGGTACATGAGAGATCTTAAACTACTTGTTGTACAAGTTAGGTTTACTCTTCTGGTGACTTTGTAATGTCTGTTTTCATTCGTGAGAGGTGGGAGCTAGTGTTTCTTGAGCAAATCTTGTTAAATCTACTATCTTCAACATTCAAAAAGCAATATCAAAACTTGTGGGGACTGTTTACGATTAGATTCGCGGCGAATCATTCGCCTTACTCGCAAGAATGAAAGAAACTGCAAATTTTGGTACAAGGGATACAAACTTGTTTGTTTTCAAATATCATACAAGTCTTTATATGGTACTTATCTGTGGGGATAAATTCTACTATCACTTAAGAGATCATTAGACTACTTGTGATTAGAATAAGATAGATTGATTCAAATTTGGAGAGTAACTAAAATGAAATTTATTTTTGTCATAGAATTAATTTCTTTGGTACCTTCGCACAATATTATTTTCTTTCTACTATTTTTCCACTTTGTTGTCCAAAAAATGTTTATTTCCACAACTACAATTAAAAGAAAGCTAATATATGTACTTTAGTGTTGATATCTTTTTGTAAAATTCATCAAAAAAATTTAAGTTTTAAGATCCGATTTATAAAATTAGAATGTCCGATCTAAAGTATAAACAAGCTAATATATTTTAAGATCGGACATGCTAATTTTATCCAAGAAAAAATTGAAGGTAAAACATATTTTTTATTTTTTTTTTCGAAAATAAATTTAGATTTTTAAAAATAAAAAATTCTATTATTTTGACCCAAAAAAAAAAATCAATTTATTAACACAAAACTATACATTATCAGATAATTATGTTCTAAGAAAAGAGGATTTAAAAACTCAAATAGAAACTCTGATACTAACGAAAAATCGGAATTATTTTGTTGTCGATTACAATGAAATGAAACAAAGATCTCTCTCTCTCTTTCTCAAATCAGCGATCCCCACACAGTCAAACCGATTTTCTCTCGCAGGTATGAGCTTTTCTGACCGGCGGTGATTTCCGTCGAGATCGTCGATTTTCCCATCCTTTGTAGCTTTCGTCTTCTACGTTCTCTCCGCTGACTAAACCCTAATTTACAACAGTCCCTGGCTTGGATACTAAATACTGAGAATCAAAGCATCTATTTCCTCCATTAAGCGTCTTCGTATCCTGGTATTCTTCGTTCGCTGCCTTTCTCGCAATCAGATTTTTCACCAAATTACAATTGTGGATTCCAATTCCCTCTGAATCGAACCTCGCTTTCTCTGTATCGCGTTAGATCTTTAGCTCGATTATATTGTTGCTTTTAGATGGTGGCTCGTCAAGGATCACGCTTGATGATACCATTTTAAAGGGGTTCGTTCTTCATTTCGTGTATTGGACTTTGACCTGGGGAATCCAGAAATCTCATTTTCTTTCAGGATTCGTTGATTGTGGATCCTATTTTCTATTTCGTTATTAGGGTTTACCAATCTGGGAGAATTGTTAGCGTTAATTCCCATTATAACTATTTTCAATTGTCTTGTTCTGCTCAGGGCTTCTGATTCTATGTTTTTCCTTCCTTTTATGACTCAGAATCTTCGACGAAATTCTATACTGCAGGCTATTAACACTCATTGATTGATTGATGCTTGTCAATAAATAATCTTGTTGAAATCTGGGTTCTGGGAGATGGTTTCAATTACAGCCATTTTGTTCGATGAAAGTTTAATTGCTTGTGTTCCTAAATACTGTGTGTATGCACTCTTCATTTCTATCTTCCTAGTCTTCTTACCAGCACATTTGTATCAATTCAGGTTTTGTTGAATTGAGTATTATCTGAATCCTATTTGTTTATTGTTCCCTTACATTCTTCTTGAATAGCTTTGACGATCAAATATTATAGCTCGTTGCATCTAAATGAGTGGTTTATTCTTAACAACGTCCTCTTATTTTTTCCTTGATAATTCTGTTTATGTCAGACTGATGGAGGCCAAACCAAAAAGGAGGATTGTTACAGAGAATGGAGATACAGGGGAGGATTTAGTTCTTGCAACATTGATTGGAAACGGGGACGATGTCGGTCCTCTTGTTAGGCATGCTTTTGAAATGGGGAGGCCTGAACCTCTCGTTCACCAGCTAAAAAATGTGGCGAGGAAGAAGGAAGCTGAAATTGAGGACCTATGCAAGACCCACTATGAAGAATTCATTGTTGCAGTTGATGAGCTCCGTGGTGTGCTAGTTGACGCGGAAGAGCTAAAGAGTGATCTTGCAAGTGACAATTTCCGGTTGCAAGAGGTGGGTAGTGCCTTATTGGTAAAGCTGGAAGAGCTTCTCGAGTCTTATGCAGTTAAGAAGAATGTAACTGAAGCTATTAAAATGTCAAAGATCTGCGTTCAAGCACTGGAGCTGTGTGTTAAATGTAACAACTATGTATCCGAAGGCGAGTTTTACCACGCTCTGAAAACTATGGATTTGATCGAGAGGAACTACATGAAGCTTATCCCGCTTAAGGTTCTAAAGTTGGTAATAGAGAGAAGGATACCAGTGATCAAGTCACACATTGAGAAAAAAGTGTGCAGCCAATTTAATGAATGGCTTGTTCACATTAGAAGTTCCTCAAAAAGTATTGGACAGACTGCTATTGGCCTCACCGCTTCAGCTCGCCAGAGGGAAGAAGAAATGCTGGAACGTCAGAGAAAAGCAGAGGAACAAAACACAGGTGGATTGGGAGAATTGACATACACGTTAGATGTTGCAGACTTGGAACAAGATTCTGTTTCAAAGTTTGATCTGACACCTCTGTATCGAGCATATCACATCCACACTATTCTTGGAGTCCCAGAACGTTTCCGTGACTATTATTATCAGAATCGGCAACTACAGCTCGATTCAGATCTGCAGATCTCTTATGGGCAGCCATTTGTGGAATCATACCAGACATTTCTAGCTCAGATCGCTGGGTATTTCATTGTGGAGGATCGGGTGGTTAGGACAGCTGGAGATTTCTTGTTGGCTGATCAAGTTGACGCAATGTGGGAAAAAGCCATTGCTAAAATTGTATCGGTATTGGAGGACCAGTTTGCCAAAATGGATTCGCCTACTCATCTGCTTTTGGTGAAAGATTATGTAACTCTCCTTGGCACAACCCTTAGACAGTATGGTTATGAAGTGAGTCCAGTTCTTGATGCCCTTGACAAAAGCCGAGATAAATACCATGAGCTTCTTCTTGAAGAGTGTCGAAAGCAAATCGTGACTGCTATTTCAGATGACACTTATCAGCAGATGGTAATAAAGAAGGAAGCTGACTATGAAAACAATGTCTTGTCGTTTAATCTTCAGACCTCAGACATCATGCCGGCTTTCACATACATTGCGCCCTTCTCTTCAATGGTGCCTGATGTCTGCCGCATCATCAGGTCATACATAAAAGGATCTGTTGATTACTTGTCCTATGGAGTGAACACTAACTACTTCAGTGTTCTGAGGAAATACCTCGACAAAATCTTGATCGATGTCCTGAACGAAGTTATCCTTGAGACAATAAGCAACAATGCGATTGGTGTATCTCAAGCTATGCAGATTGCAGCAAACATATCTTTCCTCGAAAAGGCCAGTGACTATTTTCTCCGGCATGCAGCTCAACTTTGTGGCATCCCAAGCCGATCAGTTGAAAAGCCTCAAGCTGGTTTAGCTGCAAAGGTTGTCCTCAAAACATCAAGAGACGCAGCCTATCTTGCTTTGTTGAATGTGGTAAACACCAAGCTGGACGAGTTCATGAAGCTCACAGAGAACGTTAACTGGACTACAGAGGAAATACCACAAGGCCCGCATGAGTACATAAACGAAGTTGTTATATACCTCGAGACTGTTATGTCAACTGCACAACAGATCCTCCCAATGGATGCTTTATACAAAGTTGGAGTTGGGGCTCTCGAGCATATTGCAAACTCCATCGTCTCAACATTCCTCAGTGATAGCATCAAGAGATTCAATGCTAATGCAGTCTCGGCCATCAACCACGACCTGAGAGTGATAGAAAACTTTGCTGATGAGAGATATCAGTCGAGCGGGTTAGACGAGATATACAAAGAAGGAAGCTTTAGAAGCTATCTGGTTGAAGCTAGGCAGCTGATAAACCTATTATCGAGTAGCCAACCCGAGAACTTCATGAATCCGGTGATTAGAGAGAGAAACTACAACACGTTGGATTACAAGAAAGTGGCTACGATCTGCGAGAAGTTCAAGGATTCTCCAGACGGGATATTCGGAAGCCTCTCAAATAGGAACACAAAGCTAACAGCTAAGAAGAAATCCATGGACATGCTCAAGAAGAGACTCAAGGAATTTAACTGATTCTCTATCAAACCATTAGTAGACGACCCACACTCACTTCATCATCATCATTTAGGTTTTACTATTCCCTTAATTTGCTTGTTCTGGTTATCTCCTAATTTTGTTTCTTCTTTCCTCTGTTTTTTTTCGATGACCCATCATTTTATTAATCAATTTCAGTTTTGTCCAAATTGACAAAAGCCTTTCTATACAGGATTCAAATATCTAAAGCTTTAAAAAAGCTTCTAGCTTTAGGATCTTTTTTTTTTTTGTCGTCCAATGTATTCATTCCACTACAAAACATTACACTGGTCATTTTACAATGTATCTTTGAGGATGAATTCGTGAATGCTTAGCTAAATGATCTGCCTGATCATTTGCTTGACGAGAAATCCTAAGAAAAGTTCCTAATAATATTACAAAGCTTTAGGATCTAATTTGACAGAAAAGTTGCAATCTTTAATAATTTACATACAAATCCTAAAGCTAGAAAGGTTGTGTGGACCAAAGACTTTTTTTTGTCTTCAAGGTTGCCTTATCCAAATGACACATAACAGGAAAACTTTCAACCTCTCAAAAGAAAACAAAAAGCTTCTCTTGTAAAGGAAGAAAAGAGCAAAAGCTTTGTATTCCGGCGAAAATGGCGACCGCATCTCTAGTTCCGACATCTAAAATCTTCACTGTCTCTTCGAAATGTCCAGCTTCAGTTAGAACAAGAACCAACCTAATCGTTGCATCCTCACAGCAGCAACAACAACAATCAAGAAGGAGAGAGTTACTGCTGAAATCAGCGGTGGCGATTCCGGCGATTCTGAATATAAAGGAAGCTCCGATCTCGGAGGCGCGTGAAGTAGAAGTCGGATCATACTTACCACCGTCTCCGTCTGACCCTTCTTTCGTCCTCTTTAAAGCTAAACCTTCCGACACTCCTGCTCTTCGCGCAGGTGATGCTTAATCTCAAGTCTCCTTCCTCATGTTCTGCTGCATTATGCTCATTATCAATCTAAACCAGTTTAGTTGCGTAATATAGCTAGTGTTGGTGAATGAAAGGTAGCTTTGGATCTTTTGTATGCTTTGACATTGTTATTTATCATCTAGAACTGCTTTATCTACTTAGGCTTGAGTATAGTGTGACTGATCAAGAACTTTGTTGCTTTGAGTATGGATTGGTTTTGTAACTTTTTAAATTAATGATGTTTGAAATCTAGTCTGGTTGCAGGAAATGTTCAGCCTTATCAGTTTGTTTTACCGCCGAATTGGAAACAGTTGCGAATAGCCAACATTTTGTCGGGTAATTACTGCCAGCCGAAATGCGCAGAGCCATGGATCGAAGTGAAGTTTGAGAACGAGAAGCAAGGGAAAGTTCAAGTAGTCGCATCTCCTTTGATTCGATTAACCAACAAACCGAATGCAACTATTGAAGATATCGGTGAGCCTGAGAAAGTGATTGCTTCTCTCGGTCCCTTTGTCACCGGAAACTCTTATGATTCTGATGAACTTTTGAAGACTTCAGTCGAAAAGATCGGTGATCAAACGGTAATAATGATGAATGATTCTACAAGTGGTTTGTTTTATCAGATTAATCAAATTCATTGAGGAAATTAAAGCCTTCTTGGGTTATTGTGACAGTACTACAAGTACGTTTTGGAAACGCCATTTGCGCTAACGGGAAGTCACAATCTTGCGAAAGCGACAGCGAAGGGAAACACAGTTGTTCTGTTTGTGGTGAGTGCTACTGAAAAGCAATGGCAGAGCTCACAAAAGACTCTTGAAGCCATTCTTGATTCTTTTCGCCTGTAAATCAGAGTTATTGTTACGTCTCTTGACTCAAGAAACTAAGAGCAAATGGTTTGTGGGAAGAGTGTGTGTGTGTGTAGCGCTATTAAACTCGGATTCTTTTCAACGATTAAACGACGGAAGCACTCATCAACTTTCATTTTGCTTTGCCTAATACCATAGTTAGTAATAAACTCGCGGTACTTGTTTGAAACGTTCAATTATGTTGTAACTTGTAAACAACCAACTAAAAACATCGAAATGAACACATAACTATTGTTATCACCTGTAACAGAGTCACAATCACATGAATATAACCAAACGCGGTTTTTGATACAAAAGAACTTCCTCAAACAGAGTCACAATCACATGATAACGCACCTTCCTCCACTCGACGAACTCTGCTGCCAATACGGCGGTTCTACGTAAGAGTAACTATGTAACGGCCTTACCGGTAGCCGCGGAGGTTCTGTAAGCCGGTTATCTATCCGCTGTGGAGCCGCCTCTGTTTGTCGCGGCGTATAACCATAGTTTCCGGCCGGCATAGGAGGATAATAACCGGCGGAGTGTGAAGGAGGGTAAAAGCCTGATTGGCTGTAATAACCGTTGCCGGTAAAGTTCATAACTTCACCGTCGAAACGGAGATTAGAGATTTTTCCGTGTTCTCCATAACGTTCAATAACAGCTAAAATTATATTAGGGTTTGCTCTTGCCTTGAGCTTGATTGAATTGTCATCTCCCACGAAATCCACCGAGTAAACTACTGTAGAAATTGAAAATATATCACATAAAATCATTAACAAATATGCACTTGTTTCAAATCTATCAATAACAAAAAGAAGAAGAAGAAAACGTACCGTTGACACAATGCATAACTTCAGTGACTTTTTGCCGACAAAGCTCGCAGTTTCTGTTCACTTTCATTACACAACTCTGCATGAATAGTAAATTAAACGTTTAACATTTCAATCAAGAAAAAGAGATGAAATTTATCGATTATGTATTCGTTTTCGCTAACCATATCGACAGTGTAATCCATTGGAGAGCTAGTTTCTTTTTGGCTTGGCTTGCTTGCGTGATTGGTCTAACAAACAAAATGAATATAAATAGATCATTTTTATAGGTACAGATGATATGTTTCTTGTTTAAGGCAAGTGTATCTGAGTGTTGATATAATATTATTGTCGGTGTAGTATATATATAGACAGTATTCCGAAATTGTTTCTTATAGGAAGGAAAATAAAAGATCATTTGATATCTTAATAATATTGCTAAGTATCCTACCATATATACTTTATTAATACCGCATAACTTTCTCGGGTTATCAAAGATCAAAAGATTACATACATGTTTAGGATTCTATATCTCCGATTCAAAAACCGAGCATTGTGTGAAAACTTCTTTCTTATGGTTTTTTACATAGAGAGTAAAACAGAGCAAAGTCAAGTGGTTACGATGTGAGGAACTTCTGGTTGTGGAAGAAGAACGCAGGAGTATGTTACATACTTCACACCATCCACAAGCAGGACTATGAAAACTCTGGACATTGATTGTGTTCCTTCTATCATCCCATCGTCGTCTTCTCTCGGATCAACAAGTACAGATACAACCATTGATGGGTCAGGCTTGGTTTCCCGGAAGTTCTCTTTGGTAGAGCTGTTTTGATCTTTGGTTAGATTAAAATCGGATTCCGGAAGACCACCACGGAGGATTCTTCTGTTCTTTTTCCCCTTGTGTGTATCAGTYATGTTCTTAGGCTGTTTAGTAACTGGAGAAGTAGGAATGATAGCTTCTGAGGTTAAGGAGGAGACATCAAACTGAAACACTTCGGTGCACATCCCTGAACTGAACATTGGTCCTGTAGAGAATAAGTTTACCAAAAAAGGTGTTTTAGTATATGTGAATGCCAAACATATTAAGGGGAAAATTAGTAACTTGTGATTACCTGCAACACCTTCATGAAACCATTTCTGCATTTCACCATTGGCTGTTGTTGATTTGAGTTTGTCTTTCGTACTATCATCAGAGCTAGAAGATGACTGAGCTTTCCGCTTTTCGCTATAGAGATGCTTCGACAAATCCCCGGTCCTTGTGAAGTCAGGTAAATGCAGTACAGATTTAGTAGTGACTAGATTGGTTTTCTCATCATCGTTCTTCGATTCAGAAGCCATGGCTTTCTCGCTCGCCAAAACAGAATGAATAATCAAATTCCCATCGATCTTCACAAGCTTTTCATTCCTCGGAACAAATAGCGACACAAGTAGATGTTCACTACCATTCACATCCAAAACTCTTCCTCTAGACTGATCATAAATAGGAGCCAATCCACCAAACAAAAACAGAGAAAGCAAAAGACCAAGAACACTAAAACTAGCAACTTTCTTGGTCTTCTTCTTCCTCTTAACCTTAGCCACGGATTGTTGTGGTTTCAACCGAGGAATAGGAAGCAAAGGCACTAATTGAGAACCTTGCGGTTTTACCATATAACCCGGACAATACTGCAACCATGGATAAACCATCGGTGGCCGATACATGCCACTTCTTGGACCTAACTGTTGCCTCAAAGCAGCATTCTCAGTCATGAAATAAGAGATCTTACTGTTCAAATCCATGATCGTCGATTGCATCTTCTTAACTTTATCTTCTAATTCCTCTACGTAATGTTTCTTCCTCTGTCTCGAAAGCTGAGCACTTTCACGGTTCCTTATCAGTCTCGTG